AGATGGATGGACAGACAGACAAGAATCCAAAATATAATTCTGCCGCATAGCTACTTACCTATCAAGGGCTTTGTGTTGTTCACAGACGAACAGATGGATGGACAGACAGACAAGAATCCAAAATATAATTCTGCCGCATAGCTACTTACCTATCAAGGGCTTTGTGTTGTTTACAGATGAACTGATGAACAGACAGACAAGAATCCAAAATATAATTCTGCCGCAGAGCTACTTACCTATCAAGGGCTTTGTGTTGTTTACAGACGAACTGATGGATGGACAGACAAGAATCCAAAATATAATTCTGCCGCATAGCTACTTACCTATCAAGGGCTTTGTGTTGTTTACAGACGAACAGATGGACAGACAGAAAAGAATCCAAAATATAATTCTGCCGCATAGCTACTTACCTGTCAAGAGCCTTGTAGTATTTCTCCAAATCAGAGTTAGCAAGTGCTTTTGTCTAGAAAACAAGATAATATAGACAATAAATATATCACTCAGTTTGTGGATGCACTGCCTTCCATGCAATGCATGTTGTGTCAATCAACGCATGCCTGCCTGTCTTCTTGTACCAAATGCTAAGTTTCATTGAAATGTGAAAGAAGAATTGCTTATCAAAATTTGGCAGGAAAAGTAGACCTCACCTCTAATTGCATCATTTTATTCCTAAACTTTTCATCAGCATCTCGATACATGTCATCTTGTAACTCCTTTTGATACATCTTCATTTCATTGTCTTCACGGATTTGACGAGTCACTGCAACATTTTTCTGCAATAACCGATTTCATTGTTTGTCAATATTTGTTTTCACAAGACCCACAATCAATATCCTTCCATAATAATATGATAGTTAGCATAACAAGCAGCCTGTTGGCTGAGTTAGTTAACAATGCACATTTCGATTAAATTAACAATATGTAAAGTATCAAAGCAATCAGACTTGCTGTTTTCAACAAGATCACTTTTTACCAAAAAAGACAAAAATATTCATTAAAATTAGAGAATTGAAGATTTCATCGTGAAATGAACAAATCTGAGAGAGGTTCTCCTGTAGTACCTATATATATAATATCAAAGCAATCAGACTTGTGGTTTTCAACAAGAAGTCGAAAATATCACTTTTTACCAAAAACATTGACCAAAATTAATAATATCATCACGAAACGAACAAATCTGAGAGAGGTCCACATGTAGTACCTATATATGTAACATCAAAGCAATCAGACTTGCGGTTTTTAACAAGAAGTCGAAAATATCACTTTTTACCAAAAATTATACAAAAATATTCACCAAAAGCAAGTGCCTATTTTATTATCATGGCTGGCTGGCACTGTCTCCCAAAATTTATTGTAAATCACAGAGTTTGACAATGTTAATTGAACACCACAGAGTTTGACAATATTAAATTGAACACCTCAAAGTTCGACAACATTCTATGAACACCTCAGAGTTTGACAACATTCTATGAACACCTCAGAGTTTGGCAATATTAAATTGAACCCTCAAAGTTTAACAACGTTATTTGAACACCTCAGAGTTTGACAATATTAAATTGAACACCTAAAAA